TACATAACTTATGCTGTACTTAAATGAGTTTTAACAAATACACCTACAATTATGGGGACCAGAGACGCACTGTCACAAGGACAGCTGCTCGCTCTGCACAGGCGCAGTGTGTGTTGGTGTAGATCCTCCCAGCCATAGTGCAGCTATCTTTTTTTTAAACCCAACAACAACAACAATGTTCTGGCCCCTGGCACTGCCATCCCAGCCATGACCTGGGAGGCTGAGCTTGAGGGCTGATGCCGTCCCGCTGATCGCTCGCTCCGGGTCTCTGCGTGTGCGTTTTGGCTGCCACCCCGGCCCGAGCCTCCCCTTCCCTCTCCACTCTAAATGTCTCTCCTTCCATCCCCCTCTATGTCTCTCCTCCCATCCTCCTCTATCCGCTACTCCCCCTCTGTCCTTCTCTCCCACCACCCTCCCCGCCTTCTCTCTCTCCTCGACCCCATCACCACTTCCCTCTGCTCCAGCCTGGGCATCCTCTGCTGGGCCCATCGTGGCTCCCGGCACTGGCTGTCCCAGAGCAGCAACCCCAAGTGTCCAATCATTCACTCCCTCCGCTCAAACCGCCTCCTTAATGCAAATCCTACTTCCCCCTCTCTCATACGTACCCTTCCCAACTCTCCACTCACACCACTCTCCACAACCATCTCTCCCGTACACCCAAAAATCCTCTCCGCATCACTCTCTCCTGCAAACCCACCCACATTTCCCTCCAAAATGTCCGTTCCCTCACAAATAAAGCCCTCACCATCCATGACCTCATCCTGGACGAGCACCTTGACGTTCTTGGGCTCACCGAAACCTGGCTCTCCCCCAATGACCCCATCCCCCTAGTGGAAGCCTCCCCTCCAGGCTACATCTTCCACCACACCCCCCATCCAAACCAACGTGGCGGTGGGGTGGCCTTCATTTCCAAAGCCTCGCTTGGTCTTACCCCCTATTCCTCTGGCTGTTTCCCCTCCTTTGAGCACCTCACCCTCTTCCGCCCCTCTCTCCCAATGAAAATCCTCCTTGTCTACCGCCCCCCTAAGCCCCCCGGCTCCTTCCTCACAGACATCTCCACTTTCCTCTCTTCCCTGTCCCTCTGCTCTGAACGCCTGCTCATAATGAGCGATTTCAACCTCCACCTAAACTCCCCCTGTACTACTTCTGCCGACTTCACTGCCCTCCTCTCCTCCCTAAACCTCACCCTCCACATAAACTCACCCACCCACAACAGCGGTCATGCCCTTGACCTTGTTATCACCCACGGCCTTGACATTTCCGACCTCAGCATAGTGGACAAGGCCATCTCGGACCACTTCCTCATCTCCTTCTCCTCTCACATCCCTCTCTCCTCCACCAAGCCCTCAATCATCGTCTACCGCCCTTGGAAAAGGCTACCCACTGAGACCCTCACAAAGGCCCTCACTTCATTAAACATCCTATCCCTCTGGCCTTCCACCCGCGGAGATCCTGAAGCAGCCGTCCAGTTGCTCCATGATCGCCTCTCCTCCACCTTCAACTCCCTCGTCCCCCTGAAATCCAGGACCATCTCCAATCCCACCTGATTCCCCTGGTACAACAACCATCTCTGCTCCCTAAAAAACAAAATCCGGCTGCTTGAACGCAGATGGCAGAAAACTGGCCTGACAGTCCACCGCCAACTGTGGCTCGAGCATCTCCACAGCTACCGTCATTCTTTGACACGCGCAAAAACGGTCTTTTACTCCAGCATCATCTTGGAGGCTAAACACAACCCGAAAGTCCTTTTTTCCACTACCCACTACCTCCTCCGTGCCCCCCCTCAGGCCTCCTCAATCTTCATATCCAATGCCAAGTCAAGGAGGTCATGGACTTCTTCTCATCTAAAATTCACAACATCCGCCGAGCAGCCTCATCCACCTGCCTCTTGTCACCCACCACCATGTCCTCTCTGTCCCCCTCACCATCATCTGCTTTTACCACCACCCCCATTCTACATTCCTTCCTCCCCATCTCTCCCTCCTCCCTCTCACCCACCATCACCTCCATGAAACCAACTACCTGCTGTCTCGACCCCCTTCCCACCAACTTGCTGGTTACCCAGCTCCCCCTCCTCTGCCCACTACTGGCTGACGTCATCAACCAGTCCCTCTCCTCCGGATCAGTCTCTGTCCTCCTCAAAACTGTTGTCATCACCCCACTCCTCAAAAAACCTTCCCTAGATCCCTCAAACCCCAGGCACTACCGCCCTATTTCTAACCTGCCCTTCCTCGCTGAAATCCTAGAACGTGTTGTTGCCAATCAACTTCGCACACACTTCTCTTCCCACTCCCTCTTCGAACCCCTCCAGTCCGGTTCCCGCCCACAGTACAGAGACTGCACTTGTGAAAGTCACAGACGACATCTTCTCTATCTGTGACCAGGGCTCCCTCTGCCTCCTTGTCCTCCTGGACCTCTCTGCGGCATTCACCACGACCACGCCATCCTCATCCACCGCCTTTTCTCTGTCATCCACCTCAGTGGGACCGCACTCGCCTGGTTCGAGTCCTACCTCACAAACCACCAGCAGTACATCTGCACAAATGGCTTCTCCTCCCACTCTCACCCAGTTACATGTGGGATACCCTAAGCATCCATCCTTGGCCCCCTCCTCTTTCTGATCTACATGCTCCCTCTTGGGGATGTCATCCGCAGACATGGGGTACATTTCCACATGTACGCGGACGACACCCAACTCTATTTTTCCACCTCTCTTTGCGACCCCCAGTCCCCTGATGTTCTGTCAGCCTGCCTTTCAGACCTCAGGAGTTGGATGAGCGCAAATTTCCTTCGACAAGGCAGAAGCCATACTCTTTGGCTCTCGTCAATGTCTCAAATCCCACGGCTCTCACCTCCTCCACCTACCCAACTTCCTCCTAAAACTCTCTGAACCTGTACGCAGCCTTGGCGTCAGGTTCGACCCCCAATCGTCCTTCCTCCCTCACATTCGGTCCCTCACCAGCACTGCCTTCTTCCACCTACGTCTGATCGCCCGTCTCCGCAAATACCTCTCTCTGAAAGCCGCTGAAACCCTAGTCCATGCCTTTGTTACCTCTCGGCTGCACTACTCTAACGCCCTCCTCGCCGGTCTCCCATCCACCACCAGCCATAAAATCCAAATCATCCAAAACTCTGGTGCCCACATTCTCACCTGCACCAAACTCCGCTCCCCGATCACCCTAGTCCTTGCCAGACTGCACTGGCTGCCTATCCCAGAGAGGATCGATTTCAAGATCCTCACCCTTGTATTCAAATCCCTCCCCTCCTCTGCACCCCCAACCCCCACCTCTCTGACCTCCTCTCTCCTCAAAACAGCACTCGATGCCTTTGATCCTCCGGGTCTGACCTCCTCCTCGTCACCCGAGTCCTCCGCTCCACCCTCGGCGCCATGCCTTCAGCCACTATGCCCCGAGGCTCTGGAATTCCGTACCTCACTCTCTTCACCTCGTCCCCTCTCTTCCTACTTTCAGGTCCCTTCTGAAGACCTTTCTTTTCGACTGCACCTTTGGTCACCTTCCTCCCCCTGGCTCGGCCCTGGGATTCCTTACCGTGAAGCGTTCTGAGACGCCGTCCGGCGTGGAGGGCGCTAAATAAATCCAAGTTGTTGTTGTTGTTGGTTGCCCAGAGGACTCATGCCTACAATCACCTGGATATAGTCACTGAGCTCTTTTCCCTTGTCGTGATGATATGAGATGAGTTTACTGTAAATTTGTATTACCCATTTTATGTCTTAAGGTGTCAGTCTGGATCAATTGGCAGCACTCTTGCCCTTTGAGTCAGAAAGTTGTGGGATCAAGCCATGCATTGCGTCTTTGAATTTGTGTAATCTAGGCTGACAATCCAATGCAGCGGTGGGGGTATGATGCATTGTTCGAGGTGTTAAACTGAGGTGTCATTTGCCTGTCCCCTGACATTTAATAAAAATTATTTAATAATAATGGCCTAATAATAATCCCTCAAGAAAAACAATAATAAATTTATTTTAAATAAATAAAAAACAAGAAAAAAAACAATAAATTGGTCACTTCACTCCACAACTGTTTGTGGGACATTGTTGTGCGCAATTTGGTTACCGCATTTCGCCCACAAATACACAGTCAATTCACTTTACAGTAAAGTGAAGCGCTTTGAGACATCTAGAAGACGTGAAAAGCACTATATCAAATGCAAGGATTATTATTATTATTTCCACACCACTTTCATCCTTTGTGCCTTCAGCCACAACGCCCCTCATCTCTGGAACTCCCTCCATTAATCCCTGTTTTGCCCCCACTTTATCTTTAAATCCCACTTTGAAGTCCTCCCACTTTAATTGTACCCTCCCCTTCTCCCTTGCTGAGAGTCCAACTCCAACGCTGCACAATGTTCTGAGATGCTTTCTGCCAAAAATGGTGCTTACATAAAAATTCAAGATTGTGTTGTTCAGGTGGGCGTCAAAAGATCTGTTTGAAAAGAGGAGGGTGTTCTTCTGGTGTCGTAACCTCAGGCAAAACGAATTGGTGACCCGCGTTCTTGAATAGCACCGTGGGGATCGTGAACCTGGGTCCTTTCTGACCAGGCAGACGGGACCCTGGTCTCTTCCAAAGAGGAGAGCGCCCGTCTCCGATAACGCACCGCCCCTCCCGGACTGCATCGGCGGTCAACCCTGGACCATAGAGCCTCATCCCAGGTCCCGGGAGTGGGTCCTGAACACACAACCAACGGTCCGACTCGGAGCGCGACCAACCGGGGGCTGTCACTTGGCTGTGGACACGTGCTCTGGGACCTCACCCTGGGTGAGAGGGGCGCTATGTAAACGCGAGTAGTTGTTGTTGTTGTTATAACCCCCTGTGATCAGTGCAGTCCCTTGAGCAGCGCGTTGCTGTGTGTTACAAACAGCCGCCGGGTGGGGGGGGCATCAGGCTGTTTGTGACGCAGGCGCACGGTGGCGCTGGGGCTGCGTCACCTGTCTGTGACGTGCCGCCCTGCCCGGTGGGTGCCGCTGTGTGGTGGGGGGGGGGGCGGGGCGGGGGGGCAGTACCTGGAGCGCGGTCCCAGATGAGGGCGGGGCCTGAACTCCCATTATTCAAATCTCCCGCCGCCAGGGAGCGGGTTCGCTTGTGGCTGACGTCAGGAGTAATGGCGGAGGTGGAGGGAGTCGTGTCCCGAGCGGATGGCGGTGGTGAGTTCACACTCCAGCCCACACCCCCCCACTCACACACTCACACTCACACCGCCCGGGTACAAGCCTCAGACCACCCCTCCACCACCCCCTCATCCCGGCCTGAGCCGTCTGAAGCGGCGCCGGGTCCACCCGCCGCCCGCGGGTCAGGTGTTTGTGGCCGCGGACACCTGTTCCTGGGCGGCGGCGGCGGCGGTTGGGCTCGCGCTCGGCCTGTGGTGGCCACGTAACCGCGGGGAGGAGGGCGAGCCCCGGGGACACGAGGACAGTCACACACACACACACACAGTCACACAGAGTCACACACACACACACACAGACAGTCACACACACACACAGTCACACACACACACAGTCACACACACACACACACACACACACACACAGAGTCACACACACACACACAGTCACACACACACAGACACACACACACACAGTCACACACAACACACAGACACACACACACACACACAGTCACACACACACACACACAGTCACACACACACAGTCACACACAGAGTCACACACACACACACACAGTCACACACACAGTCACACAGACACACACACACACACAGTCACACACACACAGTCACACAGAGTCACACACACACACAGTCACACACACACAGTCACACAGAGTCACACACACACACACACAGTCACACACACACACAGTCACACAGAGTCACACACACACACACACAGTCACACACACACACACACACACAGCCACACACAGTCACACAGTCACACACAGTCACACACACACACACAGTCACACACACACAGTCACACACACACAGCCACACACAGTCACACAGAGTCACACACAGAGTCACACACAGAGTCACACACAGAGTCACACACACAGTCACACACACAGTCACACACACACAGTCACACACAGACAGTCACACACAGACAGTCACACACAGACAGTCACACACAGACAGTCACACACACACAGTCACACACACACAGTCACACACACACAGTCACACACACAGTCACACACACAGCCACACACAGACACACACAGTCACACACACACACACACAGACACACACACACAGCCACACACACACAGTCACACACACACACACACACACACACAGAACACACACAGTCACACACACACACACAGACACACACACACAGTCACACACACACACACACACAGACACACACACACACACACACACAGTCACACACACACAGACACAGAGAGACACACACAGTCACACACACAGTCACACACACATAGACACACAGTCACACACACACACAGTCACACACACACACAGTCATACAATCACACACACACAGACACAGAGAGTCACACACAGTCACACAACACACAATCACACACACAATCACAGACACACACAGTCACACACGCAGTCACACACACAGTCACACACAGTCACACACAGTCACAGACACAGTCACACACAGTCACAGACACAGAGAGTCACACACACACAATCACACACACACAGACACAGAGAGTCACACACAGTCACACACACACAGTCACACACACAATCACACACACAGACACAGAGAGTCACACACAGTCACACACACACAATCACACACACACACACAGACACAGAGAGTCACACACACAATCACAGACACACACAGTCACACACAGTCACACACACACAGAGAGTCACACACACAGTCACAGAGACACACAGACAGACACAGACTCTCACACACACACACAGACACAGAGACACACACACAGAGAGTCACACACAAGACACACACACACACACACAGAGACACACACGCAGAGAGTCACACACACACAGAGTCACACACAGAGTCACACACACACAGAGTCACACACAGTCACACACAGAGTCACACAGACACAGTCACAGACACACACAGAGACACACACGCAGAGAGTCACACACACAGAGTCACGCACAGTCACACAGACACAGTAACACACACAGTCACACACACACACACGCAGAGAGTCACACACACACAGAGTCACACACAGAGACACACATACACAGAGTCATATACACAGAGTCATACACACAGTCTCACACACACACAGTCACACACACAGACACACACACAGTCTCACACACACACACAGTCACACCACACACAGAGAGACACACACATACAGAGTCACACATACAGAGTCACACATACAGAGTCACACATACAGAGTCACACATACAGAGTCACACACACATACACAGAGTCACACACACATACACAGAGTCACACACACATACACAGAGTCACACACACATACACAGAGTCACACACACATACACAGAGTCACACACACATACACAGAGTCACACACACATACACAGAGTCACACACACATACACAGAGTCACACACACATACACAGAGTCACACACACATACACAGAGTCACACACACATACACAGAGTCACACACACATACACAGAGTCACACACACAGATACAGAGACACACACACATACAGAGACACACACACAGAGAGTCTCACGCACGCACACACAGTCACACACGGATGGTGTCACACAGCGAGTGAGAGACATATGAACACTGCGAGAAACAGACGTAAAGAGAGAGACAATGAGACAGAGATGCGTATTGTGAGTGAGACAGAGATACAGTGATAGAGATGGTCAGACACTCACATACACAACACACACACTCACAGAATGAGAGACCACGAGAGAGACAGATACAGCAAAATAAATGCACACTCACTGAGAGACCGAGAGACGCAGAAGCGCAAACTCATAGATATATATAGATATATATATAGAGAGAGAGATGGGCATGTGCACAAACTAATAGGTAAGAGATTGATTTGCACACCTTCACTGGGGAGACTGCAAAAAAATTTACTTTTTTTTACTTTTTTAGTATATATATTTTCAACACCACGCATTTCAAATTTGAATGAATCATACTTCTGTAAGCGACAAAGCCATACTTTTTTTAAAAAAAGCCATATTTCTGTACGCGACAAATCTAGAGAGTTGAAGAAACGAGTGCACCTTTAATATAATATTTTTGTTAAACGCCGTTAAAAATATTTTCTTAGATGTACGGGAGCTATAATTATCTTTCCCACACAAACGTACTAACTGTTCTGAGGAGGATAAGATATGATGTCCTGATATGCAATCGCGTTGAAGGAGGGGAAGCAAAATCCGAGTAAAATGATATTGTTTTAAAATCCTAGGTCTTCAAAATAAGCACTTTATAACTGTTAACTTGTTTGCCGGTTGAGGTGTGTGGAGAGTTCCAGTTTAACTTTTGTAGAGGATGATTTGATGTTTGCATTATTTGATGGTAATATTGTGTTCTTTTTTTTATGTTGGTAAGTGTGTAAAGTCAGCTATCTTCTGTGAGATCAGATCCACTATTTCTAATAAATGTTGAAACTTTGTTTGTGTATGACGGTAGCTCCTCACAGTTGTTGAACTCTTTTCCTGGTTTTACCTGGAGTCGGGTGTTAGCACAAGGGAGTGGTTCTACAGCATAGCTGTAATATTATCCAGTCTATATCACGTGCAGGACCTTCCTGTGAATTATTTTGTGTATTATGTGTAAAGTGTTATGGAAGATACCGTCTCATCATAATTTTCACCCTGAAGCTACAGTTTAAAAAAAATGATGTTAGCTATTCTTTGTATCGCCAGGTTTAATTCCTCTTTGTTCGAACAAGTTAAGGTTAACAACAACAAAAAAATTACATTTGGAAAGCGCCTTTCACTTCGGGAGGACGTCCCAAGGTACTGGACAATCAGTGTTTCCGACCCACGCTGAGGTTCGGGATCGGGGAGGGTGGAGGGCAGAGGGAGAAGCAGGGAGATCGAAAGCACGGTCAAAGAGGAGGGTCTTGAGATGAGTCTTGAAGGAGGGAAGGGAGGAGGTGAGGCGGAGGGATTGCGGGATGGAGTTCCAGACGATGGGGGCAGAAAGCCCCTAGCCACTGGAATTTTAAAAGTTTGTCAAAGAAGAAGTTAGATGTGGAATTAGGATATTACTTTTTAAATCTATGCTGTTGGTTTATTGCATGATTGTTTTTTATTGTGTTCTTTTTATTTATCTTCCAAGTAAAGGAGAGTGATTGAATAAGGGTTTCATGGTTTTCATAAGTGACTAAGAAATGTTTTTACAAATTAATTACTTGTGATGTAAAACGACATGAACTACAACATTATGCGACTTGCATGTGATGTCGCCATGACAGATTTGAATGAAGTATGGTTCTTCTTAACTCAACCCAATGTGATATGCATTTAATCTAACAGTATTTACTCTTCAAACATGCAGCCGTAATAATGTATCAAAGGCTGGACACAATTGCAGTGCATAGAGTCGAAATTTGCTTTTTATCTTGAGCCATGTAGAGTTGACCTTTCCACAAAAATCTGTAACCATCAAATGAAAGGATTATTATTGAGTGAGCCTTGGCAATTCTTGTACCATAAGTATGATTTATTATGAACAATCTTGGTATTTTCATATGATGGAGGAAACTGAATGAATGAGCTGTTGTATGGTTGATTTATACTTCTTGCGGTCGTAGTGGTTTCTTGAGTAGAAAGTTTCGAAACAGGATAAGCATACATTTCCTTTTCTAAGATCTTAATTTATCAGGACTGTCTGGGACACAGAGACTTAATGGTGGAAAATAGCTTTTCCCTATAGAAACCTCTCAGAAGTTTGTACACCTCTTTTAGTGTTCAATGTATTTTATGAAGTATAAATATTACACACTGCATTTTTCTAGTTTGTAGACTTGTTTGCATTTGAGACAAATTAAGTGGACTTAAATGCTCATGGCTTTTTTTGGTGGCCAAACCTAATCTTAAACCTACATTTCAGGCTGCAAAATGGTGTTTATATTTTAGGGCATTCCAAGTGAATATTAAGAGATCCAGAGAAACAACTCGTGTTGAGCTTTTTTTAAAAAAAATGCTATTGATTCCACATTAAATGTGTGCTTTAC